TTGATTCAACATTACACTTTGTACACTTTGGTCCAAAAGTGATTCCAGAGCTCAAACCTGCAGGTACACGGTAAGAAAAAATATCCCAAAGTGACTCATTTTCACAAGTCTCGGTACCATATTGCAGAAAGTCAAAATTAGGTTATGTGGGCCGAAGAGTTTTCATTTGATTGTGCTCAATTAGTGTGGAATTGACAATATGATTATACTCAACGTGATTATACTCAAAGTCAAAAGTAGGCAAAAATTAACTGGCCGCTGGATATTTTTCTTATCGTGTATGTTTTTGTTTTCGAATCATCCTTTTGCCGCCTTTTGCATATCAGCTGATGGCTTCGAGCAGTGCAACCAAAACGACACATATGTTTTCTATAGAAGATTTATACGTTCATTTACTTTCATTTTTTGTCTTGAGAAACAAAATAAGAAATTGTTTTAAATATTTGTTAGTGATGATTTCTAAATTGAACATAGTTTATGCACCTTAAGATGCAATAAAAGCATTGTTTTTACACACTTTGTTTTAATTAAATCGACAACACTGGATACGATGATAGATGATTCGTACACACACCTTTGTAATGCGGTGTGTAGAAAAAAGGTAAACAAAACAGTTTCAGCTTGCAAAATTATTCGCGGCTCGCGTTTTTAACGATGCAAATGATATTATTTAAGTAAATGTCATCTTTTAAAGTGAATTAACTTGAAAGTGTTTGTAGAAGCACGTGTCGTAATTGTTTTTAGTGTGGTTCTGAGAAGTGAAAGCTAGTGAAAACAGTTATTGAAATTTCATGCCCTGAGCAAAACAAAATCGGCTGATCGTACTTTTTAATGCAAATATTACCAATGCGTGAATCCAGATCTTATTCAGCCCCATGTTTTAAGGTATGTAATTAGTAATTTACTGTTTTGTATGAAGATGTCTTTCGTACGCATACCAAAACACGTTTATTTAATGATTGTATGGGCAGCCATTGTTGCATGACGTGCCGTATCACCTTAAGGCCTTTCATATTGCCTAGTCACTAGTCAGTTATGGCACGGTATTAGCAAGCCGAATCAGTAACAATTTTGCATGCAACAGCGTTAATATCAAGAAGATGAAGAAGGAGAGTTTGGACTTGGCCCAAAGTTATAGAGGGTATGTTCAAAGAACTTCAAAGTGGAAACCTTTTTAAAGGAAGTTTGAAAAACTGTCAAGGGGATGTCCAAAGAACTTCCAGTATAAATTTGAAGGGCTTTTGAGTTCAGTAAATGTTCTGTGAACTTCATACAGTTCTGGACATAAAATATAATACATCAAGATTTTTTTGTCTTTCCAACAAAGTACAAAGAGCTGTTACTTTTCAGTATGCGCACCAAAATGTATGATTAAGTATTCAGACCCGAGCAAAGTCTGAGATCAAATTGAAATCTAAATTTGATGTTGTGATTTCGCTGATAATGATTACTCAGGTTGCTGTCGTTTTGGTCGTTTTAACGGTTAAAATATCACAATTGAGAGCAACATATCTTCCTGTGACATCACATTGAAAACTATTTCTGCTATCAGTGAGAGCAAACTGAAAACCAAATTTGATATCAATTTTTCCTGTTGATAACAAAACAAGTATTCAATTTGATGTTATGCTAAGGCAATGAAAACAAACCCGCAACAACATATTTCTGGAGAGAAAATGTACAGCAAAATGAAAACAAAATTAGGTATCAAATTTGTCAATTGCGTAAACTGAAATCAAATTATGATTTCAGTCTGATGTTGATATCAAAACTTGATTTCAATTTGCTGTCATTTTGATGCTGGACTTTGTTCGGGGAGCTTATCAGTATAATTTGTGACTTGTTTGGTCAAGTCTGTATGAAATTTGAGCATGTTTCAATCTGTTATTCCTTGAAGTACAATAAATCAAATTTACTAAAAAAATCATTTGTTTTTAAAAGATTATTTTAAAATTTACTAAAATGCGTTAAGGACGAAAAAAGTAACAAGAGCCGCGGAATTTTTCGATTTAGCCGCTGTGATTGTTCATTTTAATGCCAAAAGTTTCAACATGTTCGCCCAAAAATACTCATATTGGAGTGTATTTTAGGAAGTCATTAGCCTGGATTCCAAAATAATGTTATTTTTTTACCATGTTATTTAAGGATCTTGAAAAAAAAAAACAAATATTTTCGTCGTTAACTGATTTTAGAACATTTTGAACAGTTTGAAAAAAAAATCTTTTGACTACCGTAACACGGGGTAACATTGATAGTTTTTTAAGTATATTCTATACATGTTTTACAGTCATGAATGTTTTTCACATTTTATTTTATTTTAAAACAAGTACTGATGATCCTAGAGTCAATTCATTAATAAATAGTAATTGATTTGATTTCCTTTATTTATTATTTTATTAGCCACCTGCTGGTTCATCTCCGTTATTACTAATATGTTCAACGGAAATTATTGCACTTGCACTATTTATTCAGTCTTGTAGCCGAACATCAGTATTTTGATTTGGGGTTACTTTGATAATAATCGATGAATGTAGAAAAACATGCGTGTAACTCAAACAATTTAGTTCAAGAAATATGAAACAGGCGAAAAAGAAAATGATTGGTTTTCAATTTGTTTGGTAAATATGTAGCACATATTATATAAAAACTCTACATGATATATCAAGGGCAATACCCTAAGGTGCAATTTGGAACCAATGTTTCCAATTTGGAAATAGTGCAGAGAGTAAATTTAATCATCATATTCTATTATCAAAGTTACCCGCATTATCAAAGATACCCCGTAACATATGTAACATAAGTCCTGGAAATAATTTCAGGTGTTGATTTGACGGCATGAACAAACACACATATGTCAACCAATGCACTTGTCACGCTTATCTATACTACTACTGAACTGTCAAACTCAAATTGCACAGTTGTTTCCATTTAAAATGTCGTACAAGCTGGATTTATGTGCACAAGTCGCCAACCTTTTTGGACGGCTCAGTACAAGTGAAATTCTAAGCGTGTTCAAAGACAAGCCAATATCAAAATCAACTATTTATCGTGTTTTGAAGGATTGTCGTGATGGTAAAGAACTGGAAAATAAAAAGAAATGCGGCCGTCCAACAAAATTGAGTGCCAGAACAACCAAAAAATGTTGTCAAGTGCTGAAAACAAATTTGGTCAATCAACACGCAAATTAGCACGAAAATTTCATGTTTCAAACATGACAATCCATCTGATTAAAAAAAAAATACAACGTAATTTATCGGAAACGTCATCGTGCTCTAAAATATACACAGCAACAACTCGAAAAATACCAAAATGTTGCCGTGCACTTCGTCGCGAACCTTTTGTGAATGGTAAATACATCATTTTGGAACTGAGCAAAAAATACCATTTGTACCGAAAAAGAACAATCCATCAAACGTGCCTCAGGCTCGTCCAATCGGGTGTACTCAAGGCTACGGTGTACGACAACGGCTGGGAAGCTCAAATTGAGCAACAATTGGTTGATCGAATCAAGCAAAATTTAAAAGAAATCGTCAAAGACACCGTCCAAACCCTGATTCAACAATTTCGCTGCACACTGCGAAAAATGCATTTTTCAACAGTTTATAAATAGAATAAAATACCCTGAAGAAGATTTTAAAATTAAATTGTTTGATTTCAAATGGCATGCTTTTGATTTTTTCCCAGGACTTATGTTACATATGTTATTATGATACTTGAGTAGAGATGAACCAGCCTAAGGCTGAAAGTCTCGTTAATAAAGGAAAAAAAAAATGATACTTGATTTTAGCTTATTTGAATCATTGTACTTCCATAAATAACAGATTTAAATTTGTTAGTCAAATAAAAAGCGGTTTACTAAAATTGCTCTATCTTCTAACAGGCTTGGTAGATCACATTTTGCTAATAAATTCTGCATACTTATAAAAAAGAAGAAATTGCAGAAACCATACTGAAAAGGACCAGAATTTTGAACATTCATGGAGAGACAAAAAATTACGGACTATTATTTGTTATGACCATTACTGTAACTTTTTTTTAAAAATGTTAAAATGTCCCTGGAAGTCACCTGAAGTTCTAGATGGTTTCTCAGCTTTAGCTAGAGGAACTCCTCTAAAAAATTGCTGTGAACCCTGCTCTGGAACTCATGTAAATAGACCTTGGACAATTTTCTGTTCTTTTCCTGATGGTGCTCTAGAATTCTTACAAGATGGTCTTGCTAAGTTCCCTTAAAAGAATTCTGATCGAGTACACTTCTATAAGGAATTTTCTAACCTTTCCCTAGAATAAGCCCAAACTTGAAACACTTCTGAACTCTCGTTGGAAATTTATCCATCTTTAGCTAGAAAACTTTCAAAATATTTCTTCCGATGATCACCAAATATCTCTCGCAACCACGTCCAACTTTCAGTAGAAGATTTAAAATTTTCTTCTAAAAGTCTTCAAAAGTTTCTTTTTCTCCAAACTTGAATGAAATTTATTGAAAATTTCACAATTGTGTATGAAAGTTTCAATTAACGTTAATCAAGTTTGGTAAAACAAACTAAAGAAGTTTTCAAATCTTGCATAAGTCAAATAATCAAATCAAATAAATAATCAAATAATCAATCAAATAAGTTTAAATAATTTCGAGAGTTATTAAAAAAACAGGGGCAAATGTTTGGAAGTTTTCTGAAAGGTGTTTTTTTTTTATAAAAGTTGCTTGCACAAATGACTAGAAATATTGATTGATGTTGAACTAAACTTAAAGCTACTTAACCTAAATGAACTAACTAAATCTGATAGCTTTAAATCAGTTTCAATTTATAGAAATATGTTTAAACTTAAAGTTTAGCTATCGGATTTAGTTAGTTCACTTCGGTAAAATAGCTTTAAGTTCATTTAGGATTAATTTAGTTTAAGTTTAGTTCAACATCAATCAAACATGTTTCCCGGAAATTTGAGATTCACCTTCATTGTGTGTACAGGAGAGTTAATGTAATGTCTATAGCCCCTATACTTACAGTTATCCGCCGATGTGATCGGTTTGGTTATGCTCGACGCCGGCCTCTGGTTTTGTGCGGCTAATCTGGCCGTGTTCTCCTTCATGGTGGCTGAGTCTATAGTATTCTGTCGCTTGAAATTACTGCTACTGCACATTCACAAAAACAAAAATAAAGTAGATTCGATTACAACTCGGTCCCTTCGCACGCGCGCTCCCGCACAATACTTACACTGATGTCCGTTCCGAGGTGCCACTGCTGGCCCCGGAGCTGTGATTGTTACTGATGGCGGTGCTGTTGACCGCTACGGCACCGGCCCCACTGGCCGTCGAGGCACCGGTCGCTGCTGAGCTGGCACCGGTGGCAGTACTGCCACCGCCACCACCTCCGCCGCCGGTACCACCGCCGGCTGCTGCTGCGGCTGCTGCCACTGCCGCCGTCGGACCGACACCTGTAATGAAGCGTTGGAAAATCTCTAAATTTTTCCCGATTATACCATCAAGCCCGGAGCAGCTGCTGGGAGAATGGGTTAGTAACCAGGGGTCAAATTTGACACTTGCACATCTTTGAAGGGCAGGATTTTGGGGATTGGGAAACGGTTAGCGAGGAACGGATAGAAAGATATAGCTATAGAAGCGTTATAACATAGGAGGGAAGCTTTGGACGACCTGCTGACGTCAAGGTCTCAAGCTTCCCATTCGCTTGAACATGTTGCTTTTAATATGCTCAAAGGACGCTCGGTTTTGGGCCGATTATCCGGAGATTAGTAAATAGTGGGTTAGGGTTAGCCACAGTGTAGTTCTACCGCTACATCATCCCATTTGTGTGCATGGAAAGCAAATTGGGGGGAGAGGCATGGCGGTAGCTTTTGGATGCTCGGTTCTGCTGCGCTGCCGTAGGATGTACTTACGTAAGGTTTCACCCCCACTCGAGGCTCGTCTGCTCGGCTTTGTACTCGATGCTGATATACTTCGATGCACGCCTCGGTGCGTGGGACTTTGCACTTGGGAGTTGCCAGCGGCGGCACCCTCGTTGCCGGCGATATTACGTAGCGACAGAGACGATCCGGACCGGGACCCGTCGGACTCCGGCTACGGTTTGCGGTTTTTGCAGAAGGGGGGAGGGAAAATAGAAATAGATTAGTTTTCGGATTCAGACAGGCTGATCCTGGTGCAGGAATAAACGAAACAAATAATCCTATTTGGAAGCGTCTAAAACTATATTTCAATGGCTGTTGAACGGGTACACTTGTTGCGTTTTCGGAATTGGTACATGTTTTCTCAAAGACTCTGAGCCACGTGAGAAATTAAGTTGTTTATCGCCACAAACAACTCACTTGATATAAATTTATTAGAACGCGGAGCCAAAAGTGTCCCACATCATCATCGTTCAATTTATAAGGTCGTGCAGCAGCCAAGTTCACTCGTCGCTCGGCAGGCAACACCCGTGCTGCTCGTTGATAATAGGAGGCAGGCATATATGAGAGAAATCAACACACAGTTATCTGCATATAGGGTACTACGGTATTTTCCCTATATCTACTAAGATGGCTACAGGAATTAATGGGCACTTGTTTGTGTTGTGCTCTTTTAGAAAATGCTTAACAGAAGTAGACAGGGGGTTTTCAGCTGCCGTGCCGAACTGAATAAGTCCAGACCGCATGAACAGGCAGAGAATTTAAATCCTATTGCAAATAATCGTCTACCTACTAAATCGAGTTTGTTTGTGATGAGAGATAACTGCCCATTAGTAAGCCCATCAAGGAATTAGAATCCGTTTCCATATTCACGTTTCCAGGTCCGAAAATGGAAGTAACTGGAAGATAATCATAGTTTGTCCATCTGCTAAACTTCTCCGCTGTTTCAATGGCATTTTACTTTTTATTAGAATCTCATATGAGGTAAATCAACCAGTGATTGTGCGAATTTCCAGCTAGTTCTTTTTTGTTTTGAGATTCCTCGACTCAAATAAATGCAGTGTTTTCGCTGAATTCTCGCGTCACAAAAAGGTCCTAAGTAACAAATGTAAACAAGTCGAGTTAAGCGATACAAACTACTGCTCTTCTACGAAACTATTATTCTTCTACTATTCTGATACGAAAAAAATCCATCCAAATTAACTTTCATTTATTTAAGAAAATCATAGGTAAAAAATTGTCCAATGTACAGTTTGAAATGATGGATACATGATTGTTACATCGGTCATTTGGACTGCCTAACATGATTGGTGCTCATTTTCTAAAGGTGGGGCCAATCTAAAGTTGGGTACTCTACTCTGAAATCTATGAAAGGGAATCTAGTATCATGTAGACAAAATCGTCCAATGTAACATGTCCGATGTACAATTGACTAGTCAAAGCGCCCTATGTTTTTTCTTCTTTCTATATTGTAGCATGAAATTCAAAGTAAAATTGTGATTTTACCGTTTCTACTGAATTTTCAACGTTATTGTTCACTGACTACATTAAAAAATTACTTTTATTGTAAAATGTATTGTTTCTAAACAGTTAAAATAATAACCTGTCAAACTTCAACTTCGAGTTTCTCAAAATGGTGGATATGTTACATTGGTCTATTTGAAAAGTGACGCGAGAATTGTTCTACGACTGGTTGTCTGGGAAGAGAAACCCTAAGACAAGTTCACCTTTTGACGGACCCCATTTTGGTTCAGTTTCATGAAATGTTATTCCGCATCTTTTGAATAATGCATATAGGGGAAATGGCTCTAATGTTGGCCTATGGATTTAAGATCTAATCTGCTAAAAATCTGCTATTTATCAATTTTATCTAGATGAACGCGTCATTGGGACGGTACTCATGGATATTTTTGGTCGCTATTGAAAATTTAGTCGATTGCTGAATTTATGTATGGGCCCAAATTAGGGGCATTTAGGTCGACATTACATCCATTTCCCCTACATGTTTATTAAGGTGGTATTACACATTGACAAAGTAACTTTTGTAATCACATGATAATAGGTTTATGTCTTTGGCAAAGTTGCAGAACTATGAATTTCATGAAACTTTGCTAAAACCATCATAATTTTAGCGAGATAAATGCATTTTTGTCAAGACTACCTTTAAATCATTTTCTTTACTTTTTTGTTTCATAAATCGTATTTAATCAATTTGATATGTTCTACAATATTTTCAATAACATAAAAATACACAACTTATCTGTAGACAGCAATATTGTAAGTCACTTCATTTGTTTTGTAAAGCGATTTTAAAGCAAAATTTCACCAATTTCACAGTTAACATTTCTTAGAAAATGGCAGTTTCTGGAAGCTAAAATTAACCTTCTTTTATCAATCATGATATGAAGTACCAATATATCATAAATTACTGTAGGATCTGCTCGGGTACATAGTGTTTTCCAATTGTCTTTTCGATCGTTTTGGTTATATTTTTATTTAGTTTTACTCTGACTATTGTTAATATTACTTAACAGTTTTTAAGACTTGATGAATTTTTTTATAATTTATAAGGACCTCATTCCAACGGAGCTCTGGAAAAAAAATCATTCAGAAAAACATCAAATGCAATCGAGGTGGTTCTAAGGAATTTTGGATTTCATATGAAGCCTTAGTTTTGAGTAGAATTACAAGAGAAATCTTAGGAATTTCTGAGGAGCACAACTCTTGTGAACTTCACTGGAGAATTCCAAGGACATTCTGAGGATAATTTTATAAAGTTTGTGGGAAAAAAATGAATACGAAGCACAAGTCCTTGGAATTTTTTGAAAATACTAAAAGGAGGATTACAATTAAATGTGAGAATAACTCCAGAACATCTTCAAAGGAATTCGGAAAATAAATTCAGAAGAGTTTGCCAAACAAATTATGAGAAGAAATCTAAGGAATTTCTGATGAGAAATGCCAATGAATTGTTAGGAGACTTTCAATGTAAGTAGAATTCCAAGGGAAGGAGTGAGATTCAAAAAGAAATCTGGAATGAATTCAATGAATACTCGGATAATCTTTCCAAAAGATTTCCAATTGTGGAGAATTTCAAAGTAATTCCGAGGAAAACTAAAAGAAAATTTAATTCTGAAGATAGCTTCATCGAGATTTTGAGGAAATCTCCGTTAAATATGGAATGAACTATTTTGAGGTCTTCAGAACCACTTGACAATTCTCAAATTTTTCCTGAAGTTAATAAAACTGCATGATGCTTACAGTACTTCTCCTCAAATTCTGAACTTTATAGGACTTCCTAAAGTTTCCTCAATTTTTCTAACGATCATGGATCTTCTTTAAAGGTTTAACAATTCACTGAAGTTCTCTAAACTTCTTTAAATTTATGTGACTTCTCTAATGTTGACGGAACTGCTCTGAGGTTCTCTGTTCTTTTCTGATATAATAAGTTTTTGCAGTTCTCATGAAACTTGTTGTACTGCGCTGAATTTAATTAAATCGTCCTAAAAATGCTTCAGTGAACTTCTGAACTTATGCAAAGACTTCAAAAAAAATTTTTAACGTCTCTGAAGTTATCGGAAAATCTGGGAACTGCTTTAATTTCCCCACTAATTTTCTTAAACTAATGGAACTGACTTCCCCCTAAAATTCCTCAAATTTTCGGAGCTTCCTCATTTTGCTAATGTTCATAAAATTTCCTGAAGTGTGCGGATCTCATCTCATCAAGCTCCATAGATTTCTATGAAGTAATGTTTCTGAAAACCACTGTCCTTCTGTGAAGTTTCCGAAGTTTTCTAAATTTCTAAATTTCTGGAATTTAATGGGATTATTCTGAAGCTATCTGATCGTTCTCGAAGTACTCGGAACTTCGCTGAATATCATTAAACTGTCTAAAATATCTAAATTTAGTTCTCTGGAATTTCTTGAAGATATCGCTGCTTGCTAAAAGTTCTCTTCGTTGATGTTCTTTAATCAATTTAGCTAAATTTTCACGTTTTCCGGATGTCCATGTAAATTTGATCACGTTCTAGATATTCTCTCGAAGCTTTGCAGAAGTTGCCGGAAATTCTCTGAGTTTCTCGAAACTTCTTTAAGGTTTCTACAATTTTCTTGAAATTATTTGAACTGCCCTTGGATTATCTGATCTGTCTTGATGCTCTCGAAGCTCCCCTAAAGCTCTCACGCTTATTACGATTATAGATTTCAAACTGCTCCAAAAGTCTAGACTATAGTTACGGGAACTGCTCTTAAGCTCTGAAATTCCCCAAAGATTTCTAGATCCAGCTTTTCTGCGGTGCTTAGAACTTCTTAGAAATTTGCACAATACCCCTCAAGTTTTCTTAAATTTCTCAAGTTCGTTTGATACCTGTGAAGTTCTCTGAAATTCCAGGAACTTCATAAAAGTTCCTGAAAAGTCTCGGATGCTAAAAGAACCGCTTTGAGGTTCTTACAGCTTCCAGTAAGTTTCCCATATTTTTAGCGTGGTAACTTCCCTTACGTTCCTGCAGTTTGTTTAAAGGGCTTCACTGAAATTCTCAGCATTTCCTTCTCCAAAGTTCCTACAATTGTTGTAAAGTTAATGGGCCTACAATGATGATCTCTATTCTTTCATAAAGTTAATTACGAACTTGAAATAAATCATTTATTTTTTTACCTAATTCTGGCACTTTGAATATTTTCAATATCTTGTACATGGAATAAGAAACTTCAAGACATTAAATATTTTTAGATCTTGGACTTGCTTACTTGGAAAACTCAGGTAATTTTATCCAGAAAAATGAGTAGACATCCTGTATATAGAGAGAGACGATTAAACGTCACAACGAAAAGAATAATCAATCTTGAAATAAATTCACTCTAAAAAAGTTGAAAATAGTGACGTATTACAAGAAAAAGTGACTTTAGTAATTTGGCTTTAAAAAAAAAGACTTTTTAGTGACTGACTTGAAAAAAGTGACCATGTCACTAAAATGCGACTCGCTACCAGCCCTGTAAGACAGAACCCGCTCGATTTTGGCAACCAGCCCGAAAATTTAGTGTTGCCAAAATCGAACGGTTTTATATTGAAATTTAATTTATTCTTCTTTCCTTTATTTAACGTCGGTCTTTGTTCCGCAATCTGGTGCCAATCACCGACGGACATCGATTGTCATCCATTGACGGCAATCGAATGTG